CAAAATTGCACTTGCAGTTGCTTCCTCGGGTATAGCAGCGACTTTGTTACCAGGAGGCAAAACAGCGCATACGATGTTCAAAATACCAATAGACCTTGACCGCACGGAAAATCCAGTATGCGGTATTACTAGAAACTGTGACAAAGCGCAGGTTATCCGGGAGTGTAGTTAAATCATCTGGGACGAGTGCACTATGGCTCACAAAAAAGCCATAGAGGCAGTGGACAGGACTCTGAGGGACATCAGGCACATAGACCAACCCATGGGTGGTATAACTGTTCTTTTTTGTGGCGACTTCAGACAAATTCTACCGGTGATACCACGAGGAACACGAGCTGATGAAGTCAGAGCTTGCCTTAAAAGGTCGAGTCTATGGCAACATATTATATCCATGCATTTAACAACAAATATGCGGGTGAGACTCGGAGATGACCCACATGCACAACAATTTTCAAATTTATTATTAAAAATAGGCGAGGGAAGTTATCCAAATGATGAAGGAAAAGTAGCTTTAAATGATGAGTTGTGTTGTACTGTTTCGTCCCTGCAAGAGCTAATATTTGCGGTTTACGGAGACTTAAGCAGCGTTACGCATCAGCACAATACTTGGTTATGCAAAAGGTCCATTCTTACTCCTCGGAATGACCAAGCATCTATAATAAATAATGAAATATTGTCACATATTCAAGGAGAAAGTCGAGAGTATATCTCTATTAATAGAATGATGGATCAAGAAGAGTCCACTAATTACCCCATAGAATTTTTAAATTCGTTAAATGTTTCTGGACTTCCTTCACATATAATTAAGTTAAAAATCGGCGTTCCTATTATTCTTCTTCGTAATTTAAGTCCTCCGAAGCTTTGTAACGGCACTCGATTGAAGGTGGTTAATTTACAACCTAACGTAATTGAAGCTGAAATTTTAACCGGTTGTGGTGCCGGGGAAAGTGTTTTAATCCCTCGAATACCATTGATTCCCAACAATTTTCCATTTCAATTTAAGAGAATACAGTTTCCTGTAGCTTTGTGTTACGCCATGACAATAAATAAGGCTCAAGGTCAGACCCTAGGAGTTGCTGGCGTAGATCTTACCGCGAGTTGTTTTTCACACGGGCAACTTTACGTAGCTCTTTCCCGTGTAAGCAGTCCAAGAAATCTTCATGTTCATATTCCGGACGAGCTCACTAACAATGTTGTGTATGCTGAAGCTCTCAATTAACTTTCTGTCGCATTGTCACAATCACTTTTTAATTATTGCAAACTTTTCGTCACTGTCAATAATTTACTGCTTCATGCTACTTATAAAGGTCGGAATTACTATGAAAAAAATACTTACTACAGAACGCAAGCTCAACAGCAGTAGCTCAATAGAGGGATCCCCCTTAATTAAGTATTATAGGCCTAGCCGTATGTGGGTCCAATAGATATTTATTTGATGTCATTGTCAGAGTTACTCAAAATGGACAAATAAACATCAAACAAATAGACATCCGCGCGGACGGAGTCGCGGGCACAGCTAGTTGTAAATATTTGATTTAATTACTTATTATTTTACTATTCCTACTGTGGCCGGTTCCCGGTTGGTTTGTTGCGGAATCAATGTTGAATCTTTGCTCCTGTATTATTGTAAAAACTAATTAACGGTGCTGATTGCTGTTTGTTCTATGTTGCGTGCATTTATTAATATATATAATGGATTCTGACAGCAGCGAAAGCGATGCACATAGTTCTAAGTTAGGAACTCCGCCACGAAAACCTAGAAAAAGGCACTATGACCAAAAATATTCGAAATTATGGGAGAAAGACAAGGAATTTGCAGGTTGGCTTCAAGAAATCACTAAAGGGTGACGGATATTTTTATTGCAAATCATGTAGGTGTGATCTGAAGGGTGCTCTGCATTGCATTGTATGCATTTTTAATCTTAAAAAATCTTCTAAATTGAGTTGGTAGATTTACCAATTTTGCATTTTACATTCTACCAACTTCTACCAACATTCGGCACAGAGTCTACTAATTTTCTAGAATTCGGGTTGGCAGCACTGCGTTCCGTCACTAACCAACAACGTCGCGTGTCATGCACGGAGCGTATCAGCACCGGCAAAATATTCTCATCGAGAATAGTTGTCTAGTGAGCATAGTCCCATACTTTTCAATACAAAGAATACTTTTTTGTCTGACACGTTCATAGCACGGTCATGGTATGATACGGTGTAATGGGTAGAACCCTTAAGGCTTGTGTTAAGGGATACTAGGGTAACGGATAGAAGACATATACTTTACATATATAAGTATATTTATATAGAAACTAGCCCGCCCTCGCTTCGCTTCGGTGTAGAGCTGTAGTTTAGACTATAGTTTTTGTTCTCAGGCTTCTATTAAACACAATGACTTTCTTTAAATACCTAATTACTATAGGCACGCGCCGCCGCCGGCCCCCCGGCCAGTACCGTTCGAACCGGTATGTTCCTGCATTTTTAATCTGAAATATCTTCGAAAATATTCATTTAAATTACATGCTGTAAAGGGCCATATTGATCTATATTACATGCACAATGTATTTAAGGTACTTAATTGGATAAGGATTTATGCTGTATTGCTTAAAATCGCTTTTCGTAAATAAGCCATTATTTTCTAGTAATCAGTAATAAAAAAATGGTTATTGTAGGTTATCCCTAAGAGATAGGCATATACCATCGCGGACTTTTTTGTAGACCTTTTGAAGGTGTACGATACTGTAGTGCATTATTTTCATCTATCTCGTAGGATTCAGCCAGCGTTTGCAATGTAAGCGCAAAAAGATGTGTTTATTTACGACCTTACATTAAAAACCTCTAAAATTATCAGTGTTTCTTTACTATATTATGCATGTATTATACATATAAACCTTCCTCTTGAATCACTCTATCTACTAAAAAAACCGCATCAAAATCCGTTGCGTAGTTTCAAAGATTTAAGCATACAAAGGGACATAGGGACAGAGAAAGCGACTTTGTTTTATACTATGTAGTGATGATACATATTAAACATCCATGACTGGAGTACAAATGTTCGTATTCATCATGCAAACAGCTGCCCCCACCGGGATTCGAACCCGGGACCTCTCGAGTCGGCGACACCATAAAACCGGGCGTGCAAACCACTCGGCCACGGAGGTCGTCGATGATGATGATGATAGATGATCTGTCGTCCACACGAAGAATAGTGCATCCAGTAATCTTAAGCCTTTGATGTGATTTGAGCCATGTCTCTGATAAGACAAACAAGAAAGGGTGCAACTTATTTAAAAGATAAATAATTTTACTTGTTTTTACCAAGCATACTTAGACTATTCATTAGCGCTCTGAGCGAATTCACAAAACTAGCTGAGTGGATCATCAGTTACAATTAGCTATTTTTATAATAATGTTTTTTTTTTAATGGATGTATCTATTGCCTTGGGTATATAACAGTAATTTTATAGATATAAGTTGAAACAGTCCGTACATTACCACTTTCAATTTTAATGGAAGTTTATTTACTGGACTTAGTTATTAGCTTGAGTTCTGTCAGCAATTGGTCCTCAATAAGCTAAGGGTCAGTCCTGTCATCATCTTCATCAGCCTATTAATGTGCCCACTGCTGGAGCACAGGCCTTCCCTATGGTAGGAATAGGGGGACAAGGCTGTGACTCACCACGCGGCCCAGTGTCAATCGGTGGGTGCTAATGACTGCAGAAGCAGCCGGGACCAACGACTTATTGTGCCTTCCGAAGCACGGAGGAGACCGGAATAATAAGTTTTTGGTCGCCCATCCAATGACCGATCACTGCGAAAGTTGCATAACATCTGCAATCGCAGGCTGAACGAACACGCTAAACAACTGCGCAATCGAGCTCCTCAAGATTACTAACCATGATTTAATTTTCAGATTTCCTCTCAAATCTAATTTATTAAGATATTGGATAACGTGCATTGGTCGTGTGAACTGGAAACCATCTAATTATTCGAAGTAGGTTCCAAGCACTTTCCTACTTTTAAGCAATTTGAACATTACTTAAACAGGTAAATATGAGTTGATCGATGAAGTTAAGCAAATTTCGCAGTGGTCGGTCGTTGGATGGGTGACCAAAAATCTTCTATCTCGAGTTCCTCCGTGCTTCGGAAGGCACGTTAAGCCGTTGGTCCCGGCTGCATCTGCAGTCGTTAGCACCCGCCAATCCGCGTGGTGGGTCATGCCTATCTCCCTATACCATCCATAGGGAAGGCCTGTCCCCAGCAGTGGAGACATTAATAGGTGATAATCATGATGAAAATCGGGAGCAGTGACGTGCATTAGGGGAGACCTATGTCCTGCAGCGGACGAGCTTGGGTTGATGATGATGATCATAATGATGATACAGGTAAATATGCAGAGTACAAAATATGAACATCCCCGAAATAAAAAAGTTTAAAAATCAAGATTTCCACTTGTTTTTGATTTATTTAAATGAAATAACAAGTTTAATTTGAATTTTCAATTAGTTTTGATTTATATAAATTTTTATAGTATGAGAGTGATGATGATTCGGGCATGATTCTCTAAACCTAAATTTAAATCTGTCAAGTGTATCCTCATCATTCTCTATATGGAATGAAAAGAAGAGCCTGATCTCGAATCGAGTTTTTAGTTTAAAGAATCATGCCAGAATTGACACCGACACCAATAATACTCATATATTTGTAACTTATTTCATTTCATCGGTGAAGTATCTCAGCTCAGGCAATGTCTGCGGATAACTAAGATTGGTGCATCTTCTATTACTTTTTGTATTAATATTAAAAAATCATTTAAAAGAAGTAGTTCTTGTTACAGGGTAAATTCCCTGTAAAGGTCCACCACAAAGGCTTCTTAGATAAACCGGGCCTTATACAACTATACAATGGTGTCGATTCTGGCGTGATTCTCTAAACTTAAAACTAAATTTAACATCAGTCTCTCCTTTTCATTCTGTATAGAGAATGATAAGGATGCACTGTTGTCAAATTTAAGTTTAGCTTTAGAGAATCATGCCAGAATCGACATCAATATCAGAGATTCCTTATTGTACTAGAAACTAGAACTTATTTTGAGGTGATTTGATGGGCTATGATAAGTACCTATGTTTCTAAAAAGGTCCACTAGAGTGATATTTGTAAAACAAATATGTTTTAAAGTTAAAGTAATTTTATCAAATGTTATGGTGTTTCTATGGTGATTTTGTACACAAACAAACGAATAATATTTTTTAGTCATTTCTTTTGATATTTTTTACCCGACTGCGCGACGGAAGCAACGCGAAGCGCAGCACGCAGCTAGGGTATTGTGTTACTACCTAAATATTTCTTTCTATTTCACCATAAACTGTACCTTTCAAAGCGCATTTACCTTGTACCTTTGATTATACACACGCCTCAATGACCTATTTAAAGGTCATTGACATGCCTGGTTACCGTATTAACTGCACGCAAGCGTCGAATAAGAATATCTACTACATATGGTAGATACAGATACACTCGTTGCTTGAGTCAGTGCCACCTCGAGAGTTGCACGGTATTGTGCTCGTAAAAAAGTAACAAATATGCCGGTTTGTGCTGTCCGACTGTGTCACAACCATGCAGGAAAACCTAATAATAATACTAAGATCACTTTCCATCGGTAAGTGTTTAAAACTGATGTAATTATGAAAATACAAACAAATATAATCTTCTCCTTTCTTTTAAACAAAATTTAACTAGAGGTTCTTTAGTTTTTTTTTTTGTGGTTAAGTTCTCCCTTTTCAGGAAAGGCAAGGGGAACAATGTCCATACAGCCTAGTCTTAAGTTAAATTATTCTGTTTTTCTTTTTACATTAGAATGTCGGTATGACGCATTCTAATGTTTCTTGAAGTGTTTGGCACGAAATGTATCGAGGTGGCTTTTTCGATAAGCTTCTGTGAGGTAGTCAATACTACAATAAAATTCTCACGTCCACTTGATCGGAAAAGCGTATATTTTGACGATTCTACTAATTCTTCAGTTACGCAGACAGTTGTAACACAAAATCACACCAATTTTATTTCACAATATCCACTATGAACGAATTTAAGAATAATTAAAATAAGACGCCAACCACACTCGATGAAATCCCGCCAAAAACCAGTTTTTTTTTTATTATGTTTCACGGCTCTGACTTCCAGTTCTTTTTAAGCCAAACCTGTGACCAAACTACTAATATTACCGTGACCAAACCAAATGACCAAACGTTGAACAAACTTAGAGGTTATAGAAATGTTTTCTTTGTTTGGTACGCGGTGCCGTGTTGCAATTAGGGAAGTAGGGTAATGTGCCAAAATAATAGGGAACTTTAGTGTGAAGAATGTACCTAAAAATGTTGTTACTGCGATATTAATTATCTGCACACACGCAAACAAGCACATTATGCTGCGTCTTTCAGAAAGTATTTTTCTGTTTATTTGTACATTTTGCTTTGCAAAGTTGATAGGATAAGTTAGATAGTGCCAATTCTGACGTGATTCTCTAAACTTAAAACTAAATTTAACATCAGTCTCTCCTTTTCATTCTGTATAGAGAATGACAAGGATATACTGCTGTCAAATTTAAGTTTAGGTTTAGAGAATCATGCTAGAATCGACACCATACTGTTGTCAAGTTTAGATTTAGAGAATCGTGCCAGAATCGACACCAATGATGAAATTTCAGTTCGTGATATTTTTTAATTAGATATCAATATTAATAAATAAAATGTTACTATTGGTTTCCAATAGTATGTCGGTTGTCATTTTAGTTGTTTTAATTTTAGATTTCCTGCGGATGCAGTTATAGCAAGTCGTTGGATAGAAGTTATACAGCGAACTCGAAGCGACTGTCTGTGGCAACCTCACAAGACTTCTGTCGTATGTTCTGAGCATTTCACTGATGATGATATGTATTACACGGAAAATGGATTAAGACGAAGGCTTAAAAGTGGAGCCGTACCGACCAGGGTATGTCTTAGTATAAAAAAGGACTTGATTTTTAAGTTTATAATATTGTCGATTCTGGCATGATTTTTTAAACCTAAATTTTAATTTGACAACGGTGCGTCCTTGTCATTCCCTTAACAAAATGAAGAGGAGATACTGATGCAAAATTTAATTTTAAGAGAATTGTGCCAGAATCGACACCAATGTCACCATAAAATTGAAAATGATGTTGAATTATAATCTATTTCGCCAGCTTATAAACTTTAAAAATATTGTGAACCGTGAAGTAACATACTGCTTGCAATTTAACCCATTATTTTTACTTAGATTATAATCTATCGAAGTACAACTACACTACACAAACTGTTAAATCACAATGTGTTGTTTCGTTAGATTGTCAATTCTCCGTAGGCTGTCTCTGATTGGTCGGTCTAATCAAATAGTATAGAAACTCTATTGAGCTATTAAAATACGCGCAGCTCTTGATAAAGTTTCTCATACAACGACTTGACAACCTCTGAAGTAGCGTCATCTGTTGGCATGAGGTGATCATTTTGTTTGCTAGTTCTTTTTAGTAGCGCGTAGGTATTAATTCAACTAAATAAAACAACAGTCAAATTATGAATTAGTAATTTTCTTTAATTTTCTGATGGTTTAATTGTGTTTTTTTCTTTAGTGTCATTAATTTTATTTATATAAGCTTTAACTAACACTGGTATCGATTCTGGCATGATTCTATAAAGCTAAACTTAAATTTGACAACAGTGTATCCCTGTCATTCACTATACTGAATGAAAAGGACGGACTGATCTTAAAGAAGGATGCCCATTTGTGACCTGTCAAATCTGTAAAAAAAAATTGCGTGTATAATTATGTGGCATACCTCAAAAAAAAGGTAATTATTCGCTTATTACGAAATCAAAATATCAACAAAAACTACAATCCAGTTTTTTCATAAATAATTTTTGAAAATAACCATTATGTAGGTACATTTTTTGCTATCACACGAACGCATCCATTAGGGAAGAGTATTGTATCAAAGTAAAATGACATATTTATGAACGCAGCTTAAATGTAGATTCGCACTCTCCTTTCCAATGTTGCCAGCCATGCGGTAAATACCGTATTTAAATGGTAATGTAATACTTAAAAGGCATGGCTTTAATTTAAAGTTTCTTTCCGTTCTTAACAAAGACTGGCCATTTTCTTAGTGAAACATGACCGAAATAGTTAGGACTCCATCATCTCTTCGGCTGACTACATGTGAAGGAAAAATCGTTCCGAAAAAATGCCAGCAATAATGACAGCTGCTCAAAGTACCAATCATCTCAATTAATGGAAGGTATTGTAATTTTATTTTAGATTATTACCTACTTATATACTTGTCTACCAGAGATTTAAATAATACATAGTTAAATGTCTTAGATGTCTATAGATATAATTAGGTAAAGGTCAAGATTATCATTTATTCATTCGCTTGCAGAAACTAAGACATTAAGTACCTACTATTTCAATAAAATAATTGAAACTGAATTATTTAATCAATAAAATATAAAAAAAAATGTTTAATTCCAAAGACAATATTATAAGGATGACACCTCAGCAATATACATGTTATGATATTAATCCTTTTTTCTTCAATCCTCAGATCAAGCTTCAATCAAACAAAACAAGCGAATTGAAATAAATACCTAGCTGGGCTAAGACACCACAGCTGTGGCAGCACACAAATGAATAATCTTATGCTGGCACTTCACTTGGCTATTCATGTAAACTTGACTTCAGTCTGTCCTTTTCTTTCCTTAAAACATGATAAGGACAGACTGTTGTCAAGTTTACAAATAGCCAAGTGAAGTTCCGGCATTAGATAATCTATAATCAATCTCGTAACCACAGAGTAAGTAAATGACATCTTCAGCAGTTGAATAACCTCAGAATTAGTTTTCGTTATAACTTCTATTCCTCATTGCCAAATCAAACCAAATTAGCAACATTATTTCAGAAGATTGTAATAATTAGTTAACAACCTCAACAATCAATATACATCCATAAAGAAAAAACCGAAGTGACAGGTTTTCGAATGTATGGGCAGTGGGCATTGTTCTTTAGTTTTTTTTGTAAGTTCAGAGAATCCTGCCAGAATCGACACCATTGAAATACTTATCTAAAAACAATCTTACACAATACTTACATAGTAATATATCTTCTGTATTTACATTTGAACATTTTTTTTTTTTTTTTATTTATTTATTTCCCAATTACATTATCAAAACATACAAGTAATAACGGCGAACAAAAACCATGCAAGGTTTGTCCGTCGCCGTGTTCACCAGTTGGACAGTAGGTACATACACAAATTATTATTTAATCAATGAGGTGCAGGTAGAATTACTATTGTTCGTCCGAGGATCGCGCACCTCGTCATATCGCCATTGTGTTGATGACGATGTCAGAGTGGTGCGGTTACATTTTGTACATGAGCGAGTTGGAGTAAGATGGACATATAGTAATCCCTCTCTGCAGTATCGGGCCACAGAAGCGCCAAACTAGTTTTCGCCTTAACAATACCTAGTGCATACATGATGATTATATTTACACATTGTTTTTTTATAAATTATAATAAGCAATATACAATCCTACGAAAATAAAAAATTAAAAGTGCATGCAATGAAGGATATAATTACTTAATAAAACCATTAATTAATAAAACAGAAAAGATTGTTACTACTTATGCTCATCACAATTCAATTCAACAAAGTATTTCTTAAGCACATATTTGATATTCTTTGTATTTATTTTCTGCTTAAGAGAGAGTGGTAATTCGTTAAGTATTTTAGGTAGTATATGACTTAAAAGTCTACTACCGTAAGTGTTAGTAAAATGAGGTAAGATAAGGCGTTGTTTATTAATATTCCTGGTATATATCGAATGGCTAACGGGTTTTTGAATTGCAGTATTGAAAAAATTTTCACATAACAACTGATATTTAATTTTATCATGTATAGGCATTATTTTACAATGACTGAATAATTCTTCATATTTTCCTTTATATTTTAATTTTATTTTGTACGGCACTATTGTTTTTAAAATTCTAATTTGCAGATTATATATTTGATTTAAATATGATTTATATGTGCGGCCATAACAGCTTAGTCCATATGATACTATCGATTCTCCTAACGTCTTGTATAACATTAGCCTTATATGATAAGGTATTTTATTTTTTATCAGACTAAACTTAGCCAATACTGCTCTCAATTTATCACACACTTTGTTGATATGACTTTGCCAATTGAAGTTGTGATCAATTGCTAATCCTAGGTAGGTTATATTTTCTACCGTTTCTATGTGATCGCAGGTGCCTAAACATGCAACGTTATTTACTCCGGCATGTAAGCAGCTATGACTATGTGCTACAAGAGATGTATTAAATGTTTTCCTATTATGTACCGAGCTTATATACATTAGTTTAGTTTTGGAGGTATTAAGACATAGTCCCTTGTCATGAGACCATTTGTTAAGTTGGTCAAAATCATGTTGCAATGTGTTCATTGCAGCATCTAAATCTTTATTAGCTGACATTAAACATGTATCGTCTGCAAACTGGAAGATTTCTGTTTTGGTTATCAGATTATTAAGACTATTCACATAAGAGAGATAGTGCAATGGGCCTAATACGGAACCTTGAGCTGTGCCATCCGTTACAGCTTTTTCATTGCTCAACGTGTCACCCACTTTTACACAAAATTTCCTGTCAGTTATGTAATCTCGGCACCAATTCAAAAAGGGACCCCGAACGCCACATTCTTCAAGGCTCTCTAGAAGCAAATTGTGTTTAAGTGTATCGAATGCTTTTGTGTAGTCAATGAAAACCACTAATACATGCATTTTAGCATTTAGATATATATTTATTTTATCTGTAAATGCAGACAACAATTGTTCAGTGTTTTTACCAGCTTGAAAGCCAAATTGTTTGTCTGTTAATATATTATTGCTTTTGTAAAAATCGTAAATTTGGCTAGCAATACTTTTCTCAATAATCTTGTCTATGACTGGCAAAATGGTAATAGGCCTATAATTGGCGTAGTCCTTATGACTCCCTTTTTTGTATATTGGTCTAACTATACCTGTTTTTAGGCTTTGTGGATACCTACCTGTACTTAAACTGCTGTTTATTAAGTTGGCTATTAAGGGTGCAATAGTTTTACATATTGATTGAATATGTATTGCTCGCACATTATCTACCCCCGGAGCTTTATTGACATTCAGTTCTTTAATTATTTTCGTTATTTTGCTACTTTCAATTTTTTTGTACCTTATTGAAATGTTGCTACTTTTAACGTAGTCATCCGATTTTAATAAGGAGTTATTACAATTGGGTATAATATTTTTTACACTATTACTGAAATATTTTGCAAAATTATTAGCAATACTTTTGTGGTCCTCACTATGTCTGATTTTAAATGCATCCAATATTACTTTATCTACTGATTCTTTTATTCTACCTGTTAGATTGTTTAAAATTTTCCAAAGCTGTTTCATATTTCGTTTACAGTCAATTATAAGATTTTTAGTGTAGTTGTTTCTTTCACGATCTATAGTTTTGTTCACATAGTTTCTGTATTTATTGTATTCTCTTCTTATTACCATATTATCAGGATCATTTTTCCATTCGTTATATAAGCTGTCCTTTTTTTTACACGCGTTTATTATTTTATTACATACCCAACTTTTGTTTCTTTTTTCATTATTTTTTAATTTAATTCTCTTTTTCGATTCTTTATAACAATTATTAATTTCATTTTGAATGCCATCATATATTTTGTTAGGACAAGATAAGTTTTCTATTTTACTCCAATCAATATTGGACAGTGCTGAATTTAATTTGTGATGATCATAAATGAATTTATATTTTTGAACCTCCTGTGTACGTGACTGAACGCATGCTAGTGCGATCATTCTGTGGTCTGCTAGTACAGTGCCGAGTGCGGCAGTATAAAGGTCTTGGCTGCGGGACCGTGCGTACACATGATCTATGCAAGATTTAGTAATCTTATCATTATATATTTCGATGCGAGTGTGGTCCCGAATTCCGCAGCCAAGGCCTGTTGCCGATAAAATTGTGTTATACTTATGTATTACAGGAGAATTCTCTTTCGTGTTTATGTTGGTGTCTCCGAGCAAAAATAAGTCTGTGTTTTTATCTAGTTTCAACAACAATCCTTGTAATTCGTCAATAAAAAGGTGTTTGCAATTAATAGGTGGTCTATAAACAGCACACAGATATGCGGAGTAATTCAAAGGAGTGGATATTTTTATTACCGAGCTTTCAAAGTGTAGTGTAGTTTGTTTCATGACCAAATAAGTATGTTTTTTATTAATATAAAAGATAATACCACCTCCCCTACGATATCTTCGCAGCTCCGTGTGCATGTAGTACCCTTCAATATTATACAAGCAACAGATTGACTCTGATATATTTGCCTCGGTCACTATTATAACATCTATTGAGCACTTGCTTGACTTTATATAGTGCTCAAGAGACGCGAAGTTTTTTATTATAGAGCGAATATTGACATGAATACATAGCAAGTTAATTTGATCATTGTTTATGGCATCCAAAAAATGATTAAGGTCTTTACAGTTTTGTAATTCTTCTATATCATGCATTTTGTAGTGTATAGGTTTTAATTTTTACTTACGATTTTGACGATAGTGTAGTTTTATTTAGTGAGTTTTTGTATACCTTCCAATGATCTAATTTTTACAATTTTTGAACCATCCTCTTGACGCGCTAGCACTGTACCTTGTTGATACCACACATATTTATAAATGTTTTTAAGCTGTTGTTTGGCTGTCCACAAAAGCTTTTTATTGTAAGCTGTCAGTGCTTCACGAATATATATGACATCTTGCTTCCTTTCGTCGGGTGCTTCAGAAAGGATATCTTTGACAAGTATTTTTTGCTTTTTAGATTTTTTGATTAGGAGCTCCTGAGAGCGAGATTGTTTCAAGTAAACCTGTATAATAGATGGCTTCTCCTTATCAACCGGTATATTTTTATAACTTAGAATTTCTGCAATAGGGAAATCTAGCTTTTCTGATATTTTCTCTAATATTTCACTTGTGTTTATGGTTTCACTTTGAGGGATATTCGCTATTTCCACAACTGAAGACAACTGTTTCTGCTCCATACTTTGTATATGCTGTTCAAGGGCTCCAACTCTGATCTCTAGGTTTTTGTTTGGGTTGCTTAGGTCTGTATTTTTTTAGCTGAAAATCATTCAAAGTTACCCTGAAAGCTTCCATATTTTCCATCACTTCGTCAAGTTTATCACTCTGGAATTGAATAGACTCACTGATGTCTTTTATCTCTTTACGAACTGCTTTTTCCACCTGCTTGCCGATTTTTTCTATTAAACTGTTGAAATCAATTTGATTGCAGTCGAGCCACTTGTCTGACTGGGAATCTTCTTCATCATCACGTATTACTATAGAGTGTCGCCTGGGTGAGTCCTGTCGGCACTCAATACAAGTCCACTCCAATCCTTCAGTAGCTTTTAGAGCGGTTAGCTGCTTATTAGTTAAGCCAGAGCAAAGAGTATTACAGTGCACGAGCTTTTCACATTTCCCACACTGCAATCCGGGGCTTCTTTTGGATATAATTTTGGAACATTTTTCACACTTGTTCATATCGAGGGTAGTTGTTATCCCTTGTGCAATAACTATCGTTACGTGTGTAGCCAATGGCCGTCCAACGATGAATGACCCAGCCTTAACATTATTTACCGACATTTTTATGTAATTATCTATATTATCTTTAAACACTTCATTAATAATATCTGACATTCTTTGAGCATTTTCATTAGGGGAAAAAGCGACAGATTTTTGTTTGCTATTTAATTTTTTAATAATATTAAAACTGTACTGTTTAAACCATAGCTCACATGCAAATTATTTAACCAACTGCGAAGTGAACCTAAACTGGACAAGTAGAAATATTTTTGTAATAATGTATATGATTTTGTGGAACAGTAATAAAGTACTAATGCAAGCTCTTTATCAGATGTTTCATATCGTCTACCTTATCTATGTTTACTACTTAATTTTCTTTGAACTACAACAAACAACCTCAGACCAAATAAAAAGTATAGACGGAGTCTGCCGAACAAAAAAGTGAAGCCGATAAAACTACGCCTCGCCGTGTACATACACAGTTACACGCACACACATGCAACGAAACTACGCCTTGGCTTCCCAGTCGAGCTATCCCGGCGCGCGGAGTGTGACGTAATAATAAAAAACTATATTTATTAGAGAAAATGCCGAATTGTGTAGTGAAAACGTGTAGAAACCAATCTTCCAAGAATAAAAAACAGGATGGAATCACATTTCATACGTAAGAAAAATTAAAAACTAATATTTTCAATTAATCAAAATCAAATTTGAGGTTGTCGCTTTGTAAACAAAACCTGAATGAAATGTTGCCATGATTATACGTTACAGTTTTACCCTTTTGTTGGGTAGCGTGAAATATAACGTAACGTTATTTTATTAAATACATTGTGTAGCATACTTTTATATTATTCGAATATTGTAATGCATGGATAAACAATGACACGAAACATCTTTATTATCTTTTTTCTTTATGTATTCGTATAATTTTTTGGGATGTAATACACATTATATATTATACGTTTTTTTTACGATTTCCTAATCGAGATCAAAATCTAAAAGAGAAGTGGATTGCAGTCATTCGTAAGAGTAGAAATGAACCATTGTGGCAACCAGCTTCCCGCAGCGTGGTTTGTTCGTCTCATTTTAAAACATGCTCCATTTTGTGATACCAACAGGTAAACTTTGAAAAACGATTAATTTAAATCAATACATCCATTATTAAAAATCTAAATTAAATACAGTTTTGGCCGCAGTATGCTGTTTATCTAATAACCACAATTTACATTTATTTTTAAAATTATATGTTGACATTGAAATGTTAGTCCGCAAAGGTGGTGGGAGATCATTCCTAGTTCATTTAGTCCGTCAATTAGATTTCAAAAATTAATGGACACTTATTTTTCTTTTGTCAATCAACCAAAAAAGGCACAAAGATAAAGCGCGTAAAAGTGTGGGGCTCGTGACGTCACTTCTTAATAAAAATTGTACGAAAACGTGACGACACGTAAAATTTCAAATCAAGATAAGTATCTCTAATGTTTTGATTATGTGCAAAAATAAAAAATACGTGTCCAATACTTTTTGATAACTACTACCTGATAGACGAAGAAAAAAAAGTCATCATCCCTATTCTAATTCCAAAGGTATTTTAGTTTAATTTTGAAATCTTCTCTCGTTAGTGAGACTTGTCGTAAGGAATATCTGTATTTTAATTTTTTTAATGGTCGATATTAGTTTTTAAATAATGAAACAGCAATTTAGTAGTGTTATATTACTTTTTTACTTATAAAATATATACATTTCAAAGAAGTTAAATATTAAAGAAAATATAACTAGAAAAAATTCCATGCGGACTAGGCAGCAGACGGGACGGGAAGTTAAATATTTTTATTTCCCTTGTTTATTTGCTGATCGTATCTTAAACCACACGATTCGGAGTCGGGGAATAACCAACGCGTGGGGACTAACTACTGCCATCACGCTTACGCCACAATACGAGTACATCTCTCTATCCCTGTCACACAATGTGTGTGTGTACACGTGATATAAAAATTAAAAAGCTACTATTAAGCAAATGTTATTACACGGTTAAGGAATTTTTAGAAGATAATAATTTAAAGTAATGATATCTACAATTTAATTTTTTACTATACCTGACATTTTATTTTATTTAATTTAATTTGTATATAATAAAATTGAATATAAATATAACATAATATACTATAGAATATGACATAGATAATAATTCAAATAATATAATATTAAGCTAAAATGAATAAATAATGTTGATATTAATATATGTATTTTTATTTGTTGGGTAAAAAATTATCGTATTTGGCTGGTAAATTGTATACGTACTAACTACTCGTAAATTACAATTAGTGAATGCGTCCTCTTCTCTATTTGCTGTACCCTGTTCAGGGTCTACAATGATCAAAGCAATGTACCTCATAAGATCTAAGAAAACATTGTAGAACGCAATAAAGTATTGATTGATTGATTGATTGAAAATATAAACGGTCTTTGTACTACATATAATTAGTATAATAAAACTAAAGGTTTTCCAGCACTCATTTAGTACTCCAGTACTATACGTTTCATTATGTATGAATTATTCCCTTCTTTTCTTTGCAAATGTTTGGTATTTATTCTAAGATTAGCTCAGTGCTAAAAAAAGTGTTTCAAGTATTTTTTTGCAAACCGTACTTTTTAAGCGACATTTGACAGATGGAGGTCATTGGCTTTCCTATTCATAATTGAATCGCATTATACAAATACAAATCGTTCTCCTCCTACCGCTAGGGGCGCTAGTGTCGCTTGTTTCCAGAATTCACCCAAAGCGGCACGTATTACTCCCGTTCTATAGTATTTGGACCAAATATTATAGTAGTAGTGGTAGTGGTTTATTAAAAATAATGCATTAAATTGTAAGCAGTACTTAATTTACGTTTGACAATCTTGACAGTTTACAAGTCGCGAGATAGATTATAATATAACGGTATTTACAATTTTACGGCAACACAATATATATATTTATTTATTTATTTATTTATTTATATATTGTTAATTTAATATCACTGCTATATCTGAATTTTTGTTGTTGTTACAGTGTTTATTTCTATCAGCGATGGATTCAACAAATATACAATACGTAATGTAACCCCTCCTTTTAAAAAACAAATAATGTTATATACACGGCGTTGTACACTTTTTTTGTAATGGGTAAAAAATGTTAAACTCGCGTCAGGACACGTGACCTGATCGAAAATTCGTAAGACGGATGGAGAGAAGGCAGCCGTCGCTGCGAAGGAGAGGAAGTTATCCCCCACTCTTTCTACGGCGCGGCGAAAATGTATGCCTGCGCCTGCTGTTTCGTTTAGGCGGCGCAGGGCGCTTGCGCGAATGTTCGTGTATGTTTATGTTACAGCGTGCCACGCGCATCCATGGATGGTGACAGCTGATGGCTCGACCGTCTGTGTAGTGGCCACACTGCTGTGTATTCGTAAAATTCGTGTATATAATGTTTTACTGATAATTAAAGCAATTCGTGAAAAATTATTCCGTAACCATTCCAAAATATCAAAAATGCACAACGTTAATATTCAAGTTTTCACTTCTGCCGGCACTCCCGTAGTGCAACCTGTCGTTTATTTTTTTCAGAAATGATAAAAGTCAAAATAGCAATTTCTTTTCTTAATAGGATTTTTCTGTTTCTAACATAAACATATTATACTTAGTCTTGTTAACTTTATGATCTAAAAGATGAACATATACTAACGTAACAGATGAACATTCTACTAGCTTACGCGTCACCAAAACCTTGATGCGTCCGATTTGTGCGATATTTAACATACGTAAATTATGTAAAAAATTCTACTTTTACACAATAAGTATTTTCTTTAAGTATTTGTGTACCACCGCGCCATTCGTTGAACACAAAACCATTGAGCTTTAGAAGTAAACGTGGATATGGCATTTACAGTATCAATCTTTTTTAAGTTAAATAAAATATTTTTGCGTCTGGTTAGATTATCGAATTTCAGGAGTAAACTCCAGTCGTGCGTCGGAGCTGACACACACATTTTTTTTTTCTATAACAAATTATAATGTACCTAATTATTATTAATATATTTCGTTATAATTTTAGATAGATCAATAAAGGGTCTCGGAATATGTACTGTAATATTTTAGCAAGAGAGGGGTAAAATTTACAATAATCAGGGAATAACAGTCAACTGTTTGAATTTAATATCACAACCGTGAATCTTTTTAAGTAACCTACAGCTTTTGTGGTGTGTTATTGCCTAATTAAGGCAAAATAAGTGCCACAGGTGCCTATAAGTGAGTATTCTTTTATTTTACTACATAATTAGTGCTTCCTTTATTTCAGGAAAATATAGTTGAAGAACCTAGTACTAGCAAAACGCTAAACTTTCTGAGCTAGCGCATGAGGTAAGCATTAATGATTCTTCATATTAATATTTGTACTATGCGATTCAAATAAGAATAGGAAAGCCAATGACCTCCATCTGTCAATTGTAGCTTGAAAAGTACGGTTTGCAAAAAAAAACTTGGAACACTTTTTTTTAGCACTGAGCTAATCTTGGAATAAATACCGAACATTTGCAAGCAAAAGAATTGAATCAATCATACATAATCAAACGTATAGTACTGGAGTACTAAATGAGTGCTGGAAAAACTTTAGTTTTATTACAATCATATGTAGTAAAAAGACCGTTTATATTTTAAATAAAGTTGTTGTTTTTAAACCTTCAATAATCGATTTTTTATTTTATAGTCGAAAGCATCAGTGACGATGATGACTACTCCGATAGTAGTACAGACATGAGCGGAATTAAAGAGCTAGATTCTGATTAATGTTTTTTCTTACTGAGTCTTACTAAATAAATATCATTAAAAATCTGATCTTTTTTATCACTTAAACTTGGTAAATAAGTTTTATTAAAGAAAAACTTTTTGCTCACTCTACCTAACTGGTTTGAATTGACAGCTATGACGTCACAATATGGCACCCAGTCGGTCCTATTCTTTGTTGAATCGCATTATAATAGGCAGCATTTTTTCAACTGTTCTAGGTTTTACAAAATGATAAACACAGGTTGTTAAGATCAATGTCAGGATTTTGTCATATTAATTATGCGTAATTTACTGAACTAATTAAGATGATTTTTTTACATTTTCCTAATTTATCTATGGTAGTAAGTTCAGAACTTCGCAACATTAAGTAATAGTCTTTCATCATATGCCGTAACTCTATATCTAAAACTGATTTTATTTGCATAAATTTTATACAACTTTTTAAAGAAAAGCTTGAAACTCTATACATTATATTGATATTGTATAGATTTTTAAAGTATAATGTATCGACATATAATAAAATTTATTTCGCGTCAAAGGCGGTCATATTTACCAAGCTTCGGTTCAAAATCGGCCATTCTAATAATTTACTATCAAAGGCGGCAATAAAGAAATTTTATTTTATTATTATGGTGCCTGTGGTTCACTTTGCGCAATGATTTTATGTTCATTGACATTCATCATAACTACAAATCGTAGTGAAATCAATCAATCAATTATAAAAATCCTCCCTTAAAGACGAGACTAAACAGTTTTTTTTTGATTTGTCAAATATTTGGTTCGCCCTACTTTGCCGCCTTTGATACTATACCACTCATTTTGAGACATGATTCTTACTCTTAGACCATGAATCAAGACTAAAACGGATGCATTACCACGACCGTTTTTTTTAAGAATATCAATAAGTTATAATTGTTTTTATTAGTTTTATTTCATTGGTATACCCTGTTTCTGAATTACAGCTATTGTTAATAAATAATATCTAAATAATTTGTTTTTATAAATAGCACGTCAAATGACCTTGAAGTCAATCTTGACCCACTCCACTTCCAAATCATGAACCAGATATCATTTTTTACTTTTTACTTCCATTTTCGATTTTGAAGTCGGTTTTATCTTTGGTATAAGTTACATCTAGAGTAAATCGGACGCGTTCGATGTAAATCTGTTTCTTAGATAAAGAATCCTATAGATTGGACATAAGAATAATAATACCATCAAAGAACGAGATAAATAATACGAGACTTACCGAAGTGCGACTGAGATGTTTATAGAATGTTTTGTTGTCCATTCATGTTTTTTTTTGTTTGAGTTCAATAAAAATACTTTCGGCAAGATATAGATGATATACTAAAGACTGGCGAATATAGAAAACTCCAAGGCCGTAAAAAATATTCAGATTTTTTTTGTCTGACACGAACCTTACGTGCCATACAATAAGTTCAGTGAATTTTGAGATTAATTATTCTTGCAAATCGAACATAATTCAGTGCGTAAAATACAAGTTTTGTGTCTGGTTCTCTCTCTATCTCCCAAACTTTTTTAGTAATGGTACAGTGCAGTGTTATCGGCTGTAAAAGCCGTAGTGAACGAAAAATGGAAAATATAACCTTTCACACGTAAGTTCCAAATGACCATTTTATGTCGAAGTAAATACTTATTTAAATAATAAATAAGGCTAGGCTCAATTATATTCATATTCGTATGATGACGATAAAGAATGCTAAAAATACAAAAGTTGAAAACGTTTTTTGTTGTATTAACCGACTGATTATTATATGTCATCCATAGTCAACATTTGCAGCCATTTCTTACGTAATCTCTATTTAGCCAGGTTTGAAGCTTCTAGTGTGGCCACTAATGGACAAATCAAATTACCCATTTCGGGGGCAAAATTACTATAATTATTTTTCTCTCAGGTTGCCTAAAGATGAGAAACTGCGGGAAGTGTGGATAAAAGCTACTGGTCGACAGAATTGGGAACCTTCGGTCAACACCCGAATCTGCTCTAAGCATTTTGAAAGTCGTGTATTTCGCAGAACTAGTCAAAAAGTGTTTTTAGATAAGTTGGCGATTCCAAAATTTTTCATACATGTAAGTGATTTTTATAAAGTATTATTTTTGAACTTAATTGAGTTCTCATTAGAAAGATATTTAAAATCTATGTTATTTTACTTTCAGGATACTACAAATGAAGTTGTAGATAATCAAGCTCAAGCTGTTCAGTCCCAACAGGATAATAATTTGATGATTGAGGTAAATATAATACAATTCATTGGATATTTTCATAAAAGTGTAATAATTTGATATTGACAACTTGTTTTATATTTTCCAGTGTCCTGGTATGACTGATGCGACTAATAGATCATATCAAGAAATAAAATCTTTAGACGTGGAATCTGTAAGTGTTTGTTTTCATTTAGTACTAGCTGTTACCCGCGGTTAATTAGGGATATTTTCCCGCAGTAAAACGTAGCCTATGTATTAATCCAGTGTGTCAGTTAACTCTATACCAAATTTTATTAAAATAGTTCCAGCCGTTTAGACATGAAGATTAAACATACATACACACTCACAAACTTTCGCCTTTATAATATTAGTGTGATTTGTTTATATTTTAAATATCGAAAAATATGCTATTTTTTACCCTTGCGGTTTATAGTGGATTAACTCTGTCTATACTACGTCTGTGTTTTGGAAATAATGATTAAAAAATCTTCATGTAATTTACGAATTGCGGTAAAATATTTCTAGGTAAGGTTTCTTATGGAGAGACCAATAAAAATTAAAAAGCAACTGCTATCCTTGTGGGCGCTGTACGATATAACAAACAAGTAATAAAAGAACATTCAAAGTTTACATATTTGGATTATTTTACTAATAAAGGCTTAGCTATAACACAGCGCGAGCGAAATGGCGAGTCCGCTTCCGAGTCCGTACGTCTGAGCTGTATTATTGTCTTTTTCTTGATAACAATATGACGATTACGTAAATAATATTCATTACAAACCGTGATTTTTGAGAAAAAAATGTTTTTACAGTTTTACGAATGAAAAGTATTGCCGAGGCATTTGTTACTTAATTTTGACCTATTTGTGTTCTTTATAAAAGCATCGAAGGCATTGTTTTATCTTTATAACACGGAATATACGCAATATTGTTATATTGAGTGCCCTGCAGCGTGTTTGAATGTCCAATTGTGACTGAAGCTAATTGTGGTCATGCACCACAATTTAAGCGGATAACTTTTGAGCCGCGAGTGCCGTATATTCCATTTTTGTTTCAATCTAAGAATAGAGGTTATTTTGCTTCGGTGTCAGAGACTATAAGAGTGATAAAATTCCATGTTCTACAACCAGCAGAGATAACACCTCGTAAAAATAAGCTCATAACACAGTTAGAAGAAAATTTTTACTTACTGATTTGCTAAAATAGAAATAGCTGCTCTAAAATCAAGAACAAGGAGACTTCAAAACAAAAACTCTAAACTTTGTGACATTATTGCTTACCTACAGTCAAACTCTCTGATAAATCAAGAAAATGCTGATTTGTTAACATCAGTAAATGCTCAAAACAATGATTTTTTGATACCCAAAAAAGTAAATTTTCGACAGAAGAACGTAACTTTGCCCATCATTTACTTTTCATCAGCCCACGCGTTTAAAACTTTGTAAGAAATAATTTCAATACCTGCCGTCCACACAACCGCACTTTGGCGCGATGGTACCAATCCATAAACTGTGAGCCTGGGTTCGACGAACCTTACATGTATAATAAATATAAATATTTCCAACACTCACACCAATTAGCCTAGTCCCAAAGTAAGCACTGTAAGGCTTGTGTTATAGGATGCTAGGGTAACGGATAGAATACATATACAGTACATATATAAGTATATTTATATAGAAATCCATATTAAACATCCATGACTGGAGTACAAATGCTCGTATTCATCACACAAGCATCTCTGACCCCACCGGGATTTGAACCCGGGACCTCTCGAGTCGGCGACACCATGAAACCCGGCGTACTCGGCCACGGAGGTCGTCAAATCATGTTAATGATAATGATCATTTTGCAACAAACCACCATTATGTCTTTCTAATGAAAGCTATTTGTAAAAAGTATATGAATGTCAGAATGCATTACTATTCAAAAAATTATATTAAAAAAGAAAAAATGTTAGAAATTTGTATAACAAACTTATTTGTTTATAGGACAATAAAGTTATTAAAAAATGTTGTTTATTTATTGTACGTACCCTCTCTGATACAAATGTATTAGCAATTACACACTGGGAGAGAACTTATTTCTGTGATGACTATACTACAATATTAGTAATAGGTACCTATGTCTCAATCTCCTTTCCCTATTTAGACAAATGTTAAACAATAGCACTATAAATTTTCCCTATAAAATCATTTTTGGGGAAAATGTATGTATCATATTGAGGTAACACTGTTACTGCGCCTGCTTATGTTTTTATCCCCTAAGGGTGTACGCGCATGTTAAATCTTTAGGATTATTTATCTAAGGTCTGCTTGCTAAGAGTATTTTGACCGACGAGAAATATTATATTAATATGGTTAAAACACTAATGTTGTGAGGTTATTTTCTATTTGAGGTACAGA